CTTTCCCAAGTAAATGATACCCAAGAAAGGTAAGTGATACCTAAGAAAATAAATTTTCCCTGGTCCCCACATAAATCTGAAAAATGAACATGGGCTTCTTGGTCAATGAGAATCAAAATCCTATTAACCAATTTTCCCCTCTCAAAATCCAAAAAAAGAACATCCACATACAGGAAACAGCAAAAACCATTGTTATGTTTTCGTTTCACTTAGGTGGCACAACCTAGTATTGCTGCTGGTGTGTAATAAAACACAACAAAAATCCCTTTAACTATATGATAGAGCGTCAAATATATATGGACATAAACTTTCAACAGTTGGGGACAACCACCACCAGATTTGTGTATTTGGTGTAACCCCTATTTTCATCATAGCTAGTAGCAAAAGATTAAGGCAACCTATGGCCCGGCGCTTATGGAAGGAGGCAATTCCATTGGAGGAAAGACATGGATGGCCCATATTCTTTACCTTCTATAACTACTTCTATGGAGTTGGACAATGTTTTGAAAAATGGCGTGGAAGCGGAACCGTTTTGGTCATCGGTTTTTTGGTTGACGGTTTGATTATCTAGTTTGAACGGATAGTCTGTTTTGACAAAAATAAATTAAAAATAAAAAATAATTAAAATTTAAGAACAATTAAAAACCGTTGAACAGATCAATAGGTTGACAGTTTGACTATTCAGATTAACGGGTTATTGATTGATTCAACAGTTTTTGGTCAGGAACCAGATTTTGGGGTAAAACGAAACTGTTGCCTAGACAATTCCTAGGCCTAAAGATCCAGCCATCTGGTCAACAGCGGTTCGAAAACCATGAACTGGGACATTACTGGCTTGCTGCCCTTAAATGTAGAAAAGAATGGTTGGCCCTTAAAGTCTTAATTGGCTAAATAAATTATATTATAACATGTCTTCTAAAATATAGAAGGACAAGGCATTACACCCAATATTGATCCTTGATGCCTTATTTATCTAAAAGGTCTCGTCAAAGTTTTTTAAAACTGAATCGGTCAGGGTCCGATTACCGGTTCGAACGGTCCGACCATTCCACCCAATTGGCCGGCCTGTTCTAACAAAAAAATTTTAAAAATTGGAAAATGGTCAAAACCGTTCAAACAGTTAACCTGCCGGTTCAACGGTTTACTGACCAAAATCAATGGTTTTGGGGGAAAAAGCGAGTTTGGGGGAAAATGAAACCAATCAAGTGACCGGTTCCCGATTTTTTTGGTCTGGTCCGGTTTTGAAAACCATGGTCTCGTTTTTCCACTCAAAAAAGGGGCAAATGAATTTTAATTTCAAAGAGAATTATATATAATTGTGTGGTTCCTATTATAGTTTTAAAGTAGTATTGTTTACTAATTCAAGTTAGTTCAAATAAAAAAACTTAGCCAAGTTTTGGAGTGTTTATTTGAATAAGTTATTATTTTGGGCTGGAACTACACTTGTAATTATTTACTGGCAATTTGGAAATAAGCCCTGATGAGGGCGGATTTGGCCCTCCAATGATATTGTGACACATGGCACCTCAGAACAAATAGGTGACACCCGGAACCACTTAGGCAACAACTTGCCTTAGCCAAGTTGATGGTGTCCCACCTGGCGGCCTGGCCCAGGCGCCAACCTGGTAAC